TCAGTTGATAAACAACATGTGGAGCCATATTCATTTTTACAGGTGAGTCGTGGTTCACCCTCCAGTCAGACAACAATGAACCTACTTCCGTACGAAAGTATATTGTGGTGAAAGTATGGTGTTGGTAGAAATAAGCACTGGTAAAAGTACTGACGTATTCATTCTACACGATGGCAGCACTAATATCAGATCCTACGGCATTTTATGCCTCCATATGTTAGTGCAGTTAGCCTTGACTTCGGCCTAACGTGAGATAACACCCACTACTATACCGTGTTGAACTGGTCAACACGTTTCTTAATGAAGACTGAATTAGCCAAGAAAAAAATGTCATATATCCTCACTGGACCTTAATCCCGTCGATCACGTATGAGATGCTTTGAAAAATATGTCACATTCTATCAGATAGCTTTAAATTTCAAAGATGTCCTAGAAACAGCTCTTTCAAAGCAGCGGTTGGAGATACCTCAGGACTATAACATCGCTCTGAACCTAAGCATAAACATCGACACGGGCTTGTCCTTATTTGTTCATAATGTCCATGATCCGTTTTAAAATGAAATACCATGTATGGAAAATTGTAGAGCCGTATTGTTAATTGACATTTCAGATCACATTACGGATAATTGAAATCCGTTTTCTATAAAATCAACCGAGGTGGTATTTCATATTCCAGTTATCCTTTAGTTGTACTTGTATTATTGGAGCTGAGTTAGACACTCACAACATTGATGACAAAAATAACAGTGATGCAAAAAGAAAACGAAAGAGGCCAGAAGTGAATTAAGTGAATTCGGTCTTTATGTAAATTTTGTCAATGAACATAAAGTTATTAGTAAGACTTCAGTTTTAGAGGTTCAGCGTTTTTTGTTTTTGTTTTAATTAAAATAACCTTATGCAACATAATATTGAGAAGCATATATTAAAAGACGATACAAACATAACCGTTTATAATTGTTTATTACATGTCCAAAACTATCAAGCGTGTTTTAAATGCAAGTGTGGTTTGGGTTTCTACGCTTAATGAATCTTCTTCAATCACTTTATGTTTGTAACGTTTACCAGTTTCTTCAACTATTATTGTTACTCTCTATTTTATTAATTATTCTCAACCTGAAATATTCTATAAGTTCTTAAAAATAAATTTCATACTCTCTGAATGCTAAAAGAACTGAAGCTTTTTGATAAATTGAGTCTCTTGCACCTATTAAGGTAGTTTATTTTAATACATCAGCTATAAGATTTCGTATGCTAGGTTCTACCAGATACGTGTCGTTGATGCACTACTACTTTTAAAGACAAAGTTAGCTGTTTCTTAAATTGTTCACTAGTCAAGAAAGTTCCACATATTAATGATAATTGCCATATCCAAATTCTTAGGTTTTTCTGTACTTATCCATGTAATTTAGATACCACAAAAGATGCAACGAAACTTCTTACTTCACTGTACACTTCCATGCAAGGATTTTAAGTCATAAATTTGATCTATTGTAAAACAACGTTTGTACATAAGTTTTTACCTCGTTTAAAATTAATTATTGTAAGTGCAAAATTGTGCTAGTGGCTATTGTGATATATGTCTTAATTAGTTATGTAATTTTTAATATTCTAATATCCAAACGTGAATACGTTTCACCATTATCAAATTTGTCATGCTTGTGAAAATTCCTAACATATCGGTTATGCACTTGAAACAGATTGTACATTAAGAGATAAATGTTTTTGGCAATATCTAAAATTGGCAAAAAAGGTAAAGTGTAAGGACATGAGAGCACAGCATAAAGAATCTTCTGCGATGTGTCAACGGTAAGTTTCCGGGCTTACAATGGTAAAATCTTGGATTCGAGTCCCGTAGTGAAAAGAGCACGGTTAGCCCATTGTATACCTTTGCGCTAAAACAAACTGCACCTAACATAGTAACTTACAAATATATTCCACGGTCTAAAATAGTGTATCAACTTTAGAATTCAAGCATCACCTCTTTCAAACAGCTCCAAAAAGTTCATTTCTTTCGTTTTAGCGTAAAGCTAAGTAACATACCATCAGCGCTGCGTCCACCACGGGGATTCAACCCTAACTTTTAGCTCAAAGAGGTAAAATATTATGGAAAGTGATGTTGTAGAATGTTTAATATTAAGTGAACTTCTCTGAAAGACTTCCTTTATGACAGTTTGAAGCTAGTGTGTGCTTATAATGTATCAAAATGAAGTAGGCCCTTTTTTTTCCAAAACATTTTATATACAGCCACAATCGCTAGGAATGGCTAAAACATTTTTAAAAAATATTCTTTTTTTAAAAGCTGCGAACGAGGAAAACAGTGACTTAATCTCTAGAGATTATAAACTTTTCAACACAGACAGTTGATTTGGTTAACTAATTTTATAGCAGTTAGCGTTGTGCGAACGTACTTATGGGGTGTTATGTCTGAGGTACTGGAAGTGTGGATTAATGTAGAATTAGGCTTGTACTGTATAATACTTTGTTTGTGTGTTTGTTTGGTTTTAAGCACAGAGCTACACAATGGCTATCCTCATTTTATCCACTGCGGGGAATCAAATTCTGGATTTTAGCTAGTGTTATAAGTATTTAAGCTTACCGCTGAGACAACGGGGGGGACTCGTATAATATAATTTGATAAAATGGTTTGTGTTATTTTTTTCTGATTTTATCAACAGGCTAAGATATCCTAGGCTGTAGATGCAAGAGACGAAACAGCGATTGAAAAACTTTAATCATTTGGTTTGTAAGATTTCTTTTGTAATACTTACCACGTTCTGTAGTAAAGTTATTGTGATGTTTATTTTCATACGGATTCAACATCGCATTAAATATGTTTTTTGTATTAGCCTTACCTCAGGGTTAGTGTTGAAAATTAAATTTCTCGAAATCGGTCTAAATCCAAAATTACTTTATATTCATATTGTCTAAATAATCTATTACTCTTTCATAAAGCTAGTTTTATGTCGTCTTTATATATATATATATACATATATATATATATATATATATACTTCGTAATTAT